GGTGTTCTCTGTGCTGCTGGCGCTCCGCGTAGATGGCCTGGCCCCTGGCCTCTCCTGGTGGAATGTGTTCGTGCCCTTCTTCGCGGCGGATGGGCTCAGCACCTACTTCACCACCATCGTGTCGGTGCGCCTCTTCCAAGATGGGGAGAAGCGGCTGGCTGTGCTGCGTCTCTTCTGGGTCCTCACGGTGCTTAGCCTCAAGTTCGTTTTTGAGATGCTGCTGTGCCAGAAGCTGGTAGAGCACACTCGAGAGCTCTGGTTTGGCCTGATCACGTCCCCGGTCTTCATTCTTCTGCAGCTGCTCATGATCCGTGCCTGTCGGGTCAACTAGCCTCGGGCAGCAACCAGGCACCAAGCGCTGCACCGCTGGAGTGCTCGTCCTGCACCCGAGGCCCTGCTTGAGCGACACCGGAAGAGGTTTTGGTCTCAAGGCCGAGCTTGCTTGCGCCTGGCTGGTTACCCAGTTTTCTCTATGCCAGTCAAGTCTGGAATTTTTCCTCATCAGGGCTAAACAGCAGCCTTGATTCCTGAAATGCACCTGTTATTTATGTTTTGAGTTGCTGAAAGTCCCCAGGCTGTTTGGAAGCCGCATATAAATTGAGTGTCTTGCTGAGAATTGAGCATTTCCGTGGATGCTCGGCATGTACCTCTTCACAAAAGTAGCAAAGCTGAACTTGGAGATTTTGTCCATCCAGCAGCAGTGACCTAAGAGCTCACTGCTCCATCCATCTAGACCATAGTTCCTTAGATGGTTGAGCTCCAAAAATGCAAGAGCACTTGTATCTTCTCCAGTGTGTCATGGGAGAGGATAGCTGTTTGTTCACGCCAACCTAGAGACAGGAAAGTGTTGAACAAGAGAATGACTGGGACCTTGTCTGGAAACCTGCCACCTAAGTAAAGAACTCAGCTGTCAAGTTCATCGCTTGAGATTGCTTCATAGACTTCCATGTTTCGTGCTGTTGGTTGTAGTTTCCTGGACTTCTCCACCACCTTGTGGCCAACACCATTAGCACATCTGAGACACATTTTGCCTCCTCAAGGACCCAAAGACAGGACTAGGTGCTCCAGTGATGGTGGACATGGAGAATTGCAGATGGAACTTGTGAGTGGCCCTGTTTTGTTGGCCTGAGGTCTTTGGTTCGCTGTGTCAGGTGCCAAATGAGAACATTTGCTAAGATGAAAATAAAATAGAATGTTTTCCTGAAGTGAAAAGTGTTGCCTGTACTTTGAATGAGACAATGCTGAGATGCTCCCACCTGTGTTAGTAACTGGCTACGGAGCTGATGTTGTAGGCACACCAGAAAGTGCTGCGAGGGCACAATGAGTGGTGGAGGGCTACCTTGGAAGATCCTATTTCTGCTTTAGCAGGTGGGTAACTTGGCCCTCCAGGCTGAGTACAGTCAAGGCTGCAGTGGAGAACTTGTGGAGTGGCACCTGTGGTGCCAGAGCTTTGGCTTACCAGCATGTGGCTCTTGGTGCGCCTCAGTGGTGCCCTGTACAGCAAAGAAACAATGGCCTAAAGCCAGTTTTTGTTTGACCCTTGAGTTGAAGTTTTTTTACATTTTTCCCCCTCAATACTGGGGGTTGAACCCAGGGGTACGCTACTAGTGCACCCATCCACAGCTCTTTTTCTCTTCTGAGACAAAGTTGCTTACGCTGGCCTCTTTACTTGCAATCCTTCTGCTTCAGCCTTTTGAGGAGCTGGTTTTACAGGCACAGCACTAAGATAAATATTTTTATTTTTATGAGGTTAAAAACAAAGGGTATGGGTAGATACTATGGCACACTTACAATGCCAACTACTTGGGAAACTGAAGCAGGAAGATCGAAAATTTGAGCGTAGGGCCCAGGGAGATAGCTCAGTAGAATAAGCATTTACCTGGCAAGCGCAAGGGCCTGAGTTCAATCCCTGGTTCCGCAAAAATAAATAAATAAATGTGAGCCTAACCTTGGGGATTTAGCAAGATTCTGTCTTGAAAGAAATTAAAATGTCTGGGTACATAGTTCAGTGGGAAGGCCCTGGGTTCAAGCCCTAGTATAAACAATAAATCAATAAGAAAACAAACCCACCCAAGTGGTTGTAGAAAAAACAAAGAAGCAAAACAGGAAAACGTTTTCCTACGAGTCATTCCCAGGTCTTTGTCTCAGTCCAAGAAGCCAATATTTGTAATCCCAAAGTTACATTATTGGAATCCCATTAAGTTGATTCCAATCTACCACATTCAATGCAACCCATGGTGAAATAAAGACACTAAATTATATTTTCAATCACTGGGGAGTCAAGGGGCTCTAAGTTCAGCCACGAAGATGGCTTCCCGGAACAAAAGGAGAGACCCAGGGCCTCACCTGGTCTTTATTCAGTGGGGGAGTGGCTTGAGGAGGACTGACTGAGAATTGCGGGAAGTAGGTGAGTCCGGGAAGTAGGTGAGTCCGTGAGCTGAGCTAGGTGGGTGGCCCACACTTACCTCTGCCATATGCAGAGAGGGTATGCAGAGACAGTAATCTGCATCATACTGTTATGCCATGGAGATAGTACCTAATGTTTTGGGGGGTCTGGTGCTTCAGTTCTGATGTAGTCTTTCAAGGCCCAGGAAGTCATGGCCTCTGTCT